GACAAGGGACAGGGACAGGGGACAGGGGATGCAGGGACACCGTGACGGGGACAGGGGGACAGGGACGGGGACAGGGACAGGGACACTGTGACAGGGACAGGGCCAGGGACACAGGGACGTGGACAGGGGATAGAGGGACAGGGGGACAAAGGGACAATGGACAAGGGGACAATGGACAAAGGGACAAGGGGACAATGGACAACGGGGACAAAGGACAAGGGGACAATGGACACTGGGATAATGGGACAAAGGGACAAGAGGACAATGGACAATGGGACAGAGAGACAACGGGACAAAGGGATAATGGACACTGGGATAATGGGACAAAGGGACAATGGACAGTGGGATAATGGGACAAAGGGACAAGAGGACAATGGACAATGGGACAAAGAGACAAAGGGACAAGAGGACAATGGGACAAAGGGACAATGGGACAGAGAGACGGGGCCGGCGGGGCCGGCGGTGCCACCCACCTGGCGGTGCTTGTCCAGGATGTTGCCGAAGAGCCGGAAGGTGTCGGGGAAGCCCTGGGAGCGCGCGCACTCCCGCACGCTGACCACGCGGTGCTGCTCGGGGTGCAGCACCCGGCCCTGCAACGGCCACCGCTGCCACCCACGGGGACACCGGGGACCCCCACAGGGTCAGCAGGGACACCGGGGACAGCAGGGACCCCACAGCAACGTGCGGACACCAGGGATCCCACAGCAACAGCAGAGACCCCCACAGCAACGTGGGGACCACCAGAGACCACCACACCCAACATGGTGGCCACTGGAGACCATCAAACCCAACCATTGGGACATGGTGGACACCAGGGACCATCATACCCAAGATGGTGGCCACCAGAGACCATCACACCCAACATGGTGGACATTGGAGACCATCAAACCCAACCATTGGGACATGGTGAACATTGGAGACCATCACACCCAACATGGTGGACACTGGAGACCACCACACCCAACATGGTGGCCACTGGAGACCACCACACCCAACATGGCGGACACTGGAGACCATCAAACCAAACCATTGGGACATGATGGACACCAGGGACCATCACACCCAAGACGCTGGCCACCAGAGACCATCACACCCAACATGGTGGCCACTGGAGACCATCAAACCCAACCACTGGGACATGGTGGCCACTGGAGACCATCAAACCCAACCGTTGGCACATGATGGACACCAGAGACCACCACACCCAACATGGTGGACACTGGAGACCACCACACCCAACATGGTGGCCACTGGAGACCATCAAACCCAACCATTGGGACATGATGGACACCAGGGACCCTCACACCCAAGATGGTGGCCACCAGAGACCATCACACCCAACATGGTGGACATTGGAGACCATCAAACCCAACCATTGGGACATGGTGGACATTGCAGACCATCACACCCAACATGGTGGACACTGGAGACCATCAAACCCAACCATTGGGACATGGTGGACACCAGAGACCATCAAACCCAACATGGTGGACACCAGAGACCACCACACCCAACATGGTGGACACCGGAGACCACCACACCCAACATGGTGGCCACTGGAGACCATCAAACCCAACCATTGGGACATGGTGGACACCAGAGACCACCAAACCCAACATAGTGGACACTGGAGACCATCAAACCCAACCACTGGGACATGGTGGACATTGGAGACCATCACACCCAACATGGTGGACACCAGAGACCCCCACACCCAACATGATGTGGGACATGGTGGACATTGGAGACCATCAGGGACATGGTGGACATTGGAGACCATCACACCCAACATGGTGGACACCAGAGACCACCACACCCAACATGGTGGCCACTGGAGACCCCCACACCCAACATGGTGGACACCGGAGACCCCCACACCCAACCACTGGGACATGGCGGCCATTGCTCACCCCCACCAACCCCACCCAAGGGCTGGGCCAACGATGACCACCGGCCACCCCCACCGGCCGCACGCGCCGGCCGCGCCCGCGGTTCCCTGCCCCACCTGTTTGCCCATGGGCTCAGGGTTGGTGACGGTGGTGCTGAAGAAGCCGTCCCACTCCAGGCGCCCGTAGAGCCCGGCCCAGTGGTTGTGCCGGTTGCCGGTGTGCGGGAGGCACCACGGGATCAGCGTGTTGAACTGCCGGTCGGCCGGGTCGCACGGCTTCCCTGAGAAACGCCAAAAAAACCCCAAAAAAAAAAAAAAAAAAAAACCCCCGGAATTCTTGGACACCGGAGACCCCCACACCCAACCACTGGGACATGGCGGCCATTGCTCACCCCCACCAACCCCACCCAAGGGCTGGGCCAACGATGACCACCGGCCACCCCCACCGGCCGCACGCGCCGGCCGCGCCCGCGGTTCCCTGCCCCACCTGTTTGCCCATGGGCTCAGGGTTGGTGACGGTGGTGCTGAAGAAGCCGTCCCACTCCAGGCGCCCGTAGAGCCCGGCCCAGTGGTTGTGCCGGTTGCCGGTGTGCGGGAGGCACCACGGGATCAGCGTGTTGAACTGCCGGTCGGCCGGGTCGCACGGCTTCCCTGAGAAACGCCAAAAAAACCCCAAAAAAAAAAACAACAAAAAAACCCCCGGAATTCCGTCAAAAAGACAACGCCCGCCCAGCTGGCGACGCGGTTACGGAGGTCCAGCACCCACCTTCGGCGCAGGAGCAGACGCCGCGCAGGGCGCCGGAGCTGCTGCGGCCGTTCTTGCGCTCGTGGTGGGTGTAGCGCAGCTTGCGGGTGGTGGTGCCGTCCGAGAGCCGCACCTCGATGTTGGGCAGGTCCCGCCAGTCGGAGCCGGGCGCCAGCGGGATGTGCCGCATCCGCGCCGCCACCAGCGCGCTCATGTCCTGCCACGGCCGGCTCGGCGTCACCGCGGGCCCGGCGGGGCGCCGCGGGGGACGTTGGGTATCAGTGGGGGGCATTGGGTATCAATGGGCAACGTTGGGCATCAATGGGGGACGTTGGGCACCAATGGGGGCCATTGGGCATCAGTGGGGGACGTTGGGCATCAGTGGGGGACGTTGGGCACCAATTGCGGACATTGGGCACCAATGGGGGACGTTGGGCACCAATGGGGGATGTTGGGCACCAATGGGGGGCATTGGGCATCAATGGGGGGTGTTAGACACCAATGGGGGACGTTGGGCACCAATGGGGGACGTTGGGCATCAATGGGGGACGTTGGGTACCAATGGCAGACGTTGGGCACCAATGGGGGACATTGGGCATCAATGGCGGATGTTGGGTACCAATGGGGGACGTTGGGCACCAGTGGGGGGCGTTGGGCATCAGTGGGGGGCATTTGGCATCAATGGGGCGTGTTGGGCATCAATGGGGAGTGTTGGGCATCAATTGGGGATGTTGGGCACCAATGGGGGGCATTGGGCATCAATTGGGGATATTGGGCACCAATGGCGGACATTGGGCATCAGTGGGGGACGTTAAAAAAAAACAACAAAAAAACCCCCGGAATTCCGTCAAAAAGACAACGCCCGCCCAGCTGGCGACGCGGTTACGGAGGTCCAGCACCCACCTTCGGCGCAGGAGCAGACGCCGCGCAGGGCGCCGGAGCTGCTGCGGCCGTTCTTGCGCTCGTGGTGGGTGTAGCGCAGCTTGCGGGTGGTGGTGCCGTCCGAGAGCCGCACCTCGATGTTGGGCAGGTCCCGCCAGTCGGAGCCGGGCGCCAGCGGGATGTGCCGCATCCGCGCCGCCACCAGCGCGCTCATGTCCTGCCACGGCCGGCTCGGCGTCACCGCGGGCCCGGCGGGGCGCCGCGGGGGACGTTGGGTATCAGTGGGGGGCATTGGGTATCAATGGGCAACGTTGGGCATCAATGGGGGACGTTGGGCACCAATGGGGGCCATTGGGCATCAGTGGGGGACGTTGGGCATCAGTGGGGGACGTTGGGCATCAGTGGGGGACGTTGGGCATCAGTGGGGGACGTTGGGCATCAGTGGGGGACGTTGGGCACCAATTGCGGACATTGGGCACCAATGGGGGACGTTGGGCACCAATGGGGGATGTTGGGCACCAATGGGGGGCATTGGGCATCAATGGGGGGTGTTAGACACCAATGGGGGACGTTGGGCACCAATGGGGGACGTTGGGCATCAATGGGGGACGTTGGGTACCAATGGCAGACGTTGGGCACCAATGGGGGACATTGGGCATCAATGGCGGATGTTGGGTACCAATGGGGGACGTTGGGCACCAGTGGGGGGCGTTGGGCATCAGTGGGGGGCATTTGGCATCAATGGGGCGTGTTGGGCATCAATGGGGAGTGTTGGGCATCAATTGGGGATGTTGGGCACCAATGGGGGGCATTGGGCATCAATTGGGGATATTGGGCACCAATGGCGGACATTGGGCATCAGTGGGGGACGTTGGGCATCAATGGCGGACGTTGGGCACCATTGGGGGGCGTTGGGCACCAATGGGGGGCGTTGGGCACCATCAGGGGATGGTTGGTGTTCAGGGGACTTGTAGGGAGAGGTGGCTCCCAGTGGATTCAGCGGCTCCCAAGGGATCCACCAGATCCCAGTGGTCAATGGGACAATGGACAATCCCAAGGGATCCCGGTGGTCCCACCAGTTCCCAGTGGTCAATGGGACAATGGACAATCCCAAGGGATCCCGGTGGTCCCACCAGTTCCCAGTGGTCAATGGGACAATGGACAATCCCAAGGGATCCCGGTGGTCCCACCAGTTCCCAGTGGTCAATGGGACAATGGACAATCCCAAGGGATCCCGGTGGTCCCACCAGATCCCAGTGGCTCCACCATTCCCAACACCTCCACGTGTTCCCAACACCTCCACCAGTTCCCAAAATCACCATTCCCAAGCATCCACCATTCCCAAAATCACCATTCCAAGCATCCACCACTCCCAAACCCACCGTTCCCAGTATCCCCACCATTCCCAAACCCACCATTCCCAGTATCTCCACCATTCCCAGTATCTCCACCATTCCCAAACCCACCATTCCCACTATCTCCACCTCTCCATTTTGGACCATTCCCAGTATCTCCACCATTCCCAAACCCACCATTCCCAGTATCTCCACCATTCCCAAACCCACCATTCCCAGTATCTCCACATTCCCACTATCTCCACCACTCCCAAACCCACCATTCCCACCACCTCCACCATTCCCAAACCCACCATTCCCAGCATCTCCACCATTCCCAGTATCTCCACCATTCCCAAACCCATCATTCCCACTATCTCCACCACTCCCAAACCCACCATTCCCACCACCTCCACCATTCCCAAACCCACCATTCCCAGTATCTCCACCATTCCCAGTATCTCCACCATTCCCAAACCCACCATTCCCAGTGTCTCCACCACTCCCAAACCCACCATTCCCAGTATCTCCACCATTCCCAAACCCACCATTCCCAGTATCTCCACCATTCCCAGTATCTCCACCATTCCCAAACCCACCATTCCCACCACTCCCCCATCCTGATTTTGGGCGCGGCCACCCCGGGAAGCCGCGGGACCGCTTCGGTGGGATCTGGTGGATCCCATTCCCACCTTGCAGATGTGATCCCTGAGGATGGGCTGGTACTGGGAGCCGCGGATCTGGCGCTGGAACCACGACTGGGGTTCGCCGTTGTAGGAGATCTCCAGCGCCGAGGCGCCGTTGCGGATCTCGGGCAGGTCCGACATCGTGTCCCGCACCGTGATGGTGCGGAACGGGCCCGAGTACGTCCTGCGGGGAGAGAATTCCCAACTCGGAACTCCCAACTCGGAACTCCCAACTCGGAATTCCCAACTCGGAATTCCCAACTCGGAACCCCAACTTGGAATTCCCAACTTGGAGATCCTAACTCAGAACTCCCAACTCGGAATTCCCAACTTGGAGCTCCCAACTCGGAATTCCCAACTTGGAACTCCCAACTTGGAGCTCCCAACTCGGAATTCCCAACTTGGAGCTCCCAACTCGGAATTCCCAACTTGGAACTCCCAACTTGGAGCTCCCAACACCAAAATCCCCAGCTTGGAACCCCCAACTCAGAACTCCCAACTCGGAACCCCAACTTGGAATTCCCAACTTGGAGCTCCCAAATCAGAACTCCCAACTCTGAACTCCCAACTCGGAATTCCCAACTTGGAGCTCCCAACTTGGAATTCCCAACTTGGAACTCCAACTCGGAATTCCCAACCCGGAACCCCAACTCGGAACTTCCAATTTGGAACTCCCAAGCTGGAATTCCCAACACTGAATTCCCAACACCCAATCCCCAAGTTCCGAACTCCCAGCACAGAATTCCCAACACCAAATCCCCAACGCCCAATCCCCAAGTGCCGAATTCCCAGCACAGAATTCCCAACTCAGAACTGCCGAACCGGGATTCCCGATAGGAAATTCCCAACTCGGAATTGCCAAACCAGAATTCCCAACGCCCAATTCCCAACGCCCAATCCCCAAGTGCCGAATTCCCAGCACAGAATTCCCAACTCAGAACTGCCGAACCGGGATTCCCGATAGGAAATTCCCAACTCGGAATTGCCAAACCAGAATTCCCAACGCCCAATTCCCAACGCCCAATCCCCAAGTGCCGAATTCCCAGCACAGAATTCCCAACTCAGAACTGCCGAACCGGGATTCCCGACACGGAATTCCCAACTCGGAATTGCCAAACCAGAATTCCCAACGCCCAATTCCCAACGCCCAATCCTCAAGTGCCGAATACCCAGCACAGAATTCCCAACTCAGAACTGCCGAACCGGGATTCCCGATAGGAAATTCCCAACTCGGAATTGCCAAACCAGAATTCCCGACATGAAATTCCTGACTTGGAATTGCCGAAGCGGAATTCCCGGCCGGCTCCGGGCTCTCACCGGGTGATGTTGCTGACGAACTTCTTGTCGTCCACCACGACGCTGAGCTGGCAGGCGCGGGGGGCGAACACGTGCAGGGGCTCGGGGAACATGGGCAGCTTCTCGCCCGGCGCCGCCGCCAGCACGATGGCGCGGCGCCGCGTCTGCGCCACGCCGTACTGCCCGGCCTGCGGGGACAACCCCGGCGGGGACGTCACCGCGCGGGGCACGGAGCCGGGGCCGCCCCAGGGGACAGGTCTGGCTTTGGAGGGACAGTTCTGCCTTTGGAGGGGACAGGTCTGTCTTTGGAGGGGACAGTTCCTGGGGGAACTGTGGTGGCCATGGCCATGTGGAGCCCTCATGGAGATGGGAATGTCCCCAGAGCCACCCAAGGGGTGGCTTTGAAGGGACAGCTCGACCTTTGGAGGGACAGGTCTGCCTTTGGAGGGACAGCTCCACCTTTGGAGGGACAGCTCTGCCTTTGGAGGGACAGCTCCACCTTTGGAGGGACAGCTCTGCCTTTGGAGGGACAGGTCTGCCTTTGGAGGGACAATTCCTGAGGGAACTGTGGTGGCCATGGCCATGTAGAGCCTTCATGGCAGTGGGAATGTCCCCAAAGCCACCCAAGGGGACAGTTCTGCCTTTGGAGGGGACAGCTCGACCTTTGGAGGGACAGTTCTGCCTTTGGAGGGACAGTTCTGTCTTTGGAGGGGACAGCTCTGCCTTTGGAGGGACAGCTCTGCCTTTGGAGGGACAATTCCTGGGGGAACTGTGGTGGCCATGGCCATGTGGAGCCCTCATGGCAGTGGGAATGTCCCCAAAGCCACCCAAGGGGACATTTCTGCCTTTGGAGGGGACAGCTCTGCCTTTGGAGGGGACAGTTCTGCCTTTGGAGGGACAATTCCTGGGGGAACTGTGGTGGCCATGGCCATGTGGAGCCCTCATGGCAGTGGGAATGTCCCCAAAGCCACCACAGGGGACAGTTCCTGAGGGACAGGGGTGGGAAAGTCCCCAGAGTCACCCTTGGGGACAATTTCTCCTTTAGAGGGAACAGTTCCTGAGGGACAAGGATGAGGATGTCCCCAAAGCCACCCAAGGAGTCAATTCCTCCTTTGGAGAACCTGTCCCCTCTGGGAATGTCCCCAAAGCCACCCAAGGAGTCAATTCCTCCTTTGGAGAACCTGTCCCCTCTGGGAATGTCCCCAAAGCCACCCAAGGAGTCAATTCCTCCTTTGGAGAACCTGTCCGCTCTGGGAATGTCCCCAAAGCCACCCAAGGAGTCAATTCCCCCTTTGAAGGACCAACTGACCAACTGGGAATTGGCCAATTCCCAACTGACAACTCTTATGGGAACGTCCCCAAGGAGCGACACAACCAACATTCCTTGGGGTGCCAAAAAAGGGGTTTTTTCCCCCAAAAAGCAGCCCTGGAGACCCTACCTGGAGCACCCCGAAGGTGCACTGGTAGCCCATGCGCACCAGGCAGCGCAGGGTCAGCTTGAGCACCATGGATCTCTTGAAGGACACGAAATTCCGGACGTTCTCCAGCAGGAAGAAGCGCGGCCGGTAATAATCGCAGTAACTGCGGGGACAGCGGGACGTCGGCGTGGCCAGGGGACACTGGAGGGGGTCTCACCCCAAAAATCTCCTCCATCACCCCAAAAAATCCTCTCCACACCCACCAGGGGACACCGGATGGGGTCTCACCCCAAAAAACAACCTCTACACACCCATGAAGGGTCCCACCCCAAAAAATCCCATCCACATCCATGAGGGGACACCAGATGGGGTCTCACCCCAAAAATCTCCTCCATCACCCCCAAAAATCCCATCCAAATCCCTGAAGGACACACAGATGGGGTCTCACCCCAAAAATCTCCTCCATCACCCCAAAAAATCCCATCCACATCCATGAGGGGACACCAGATGGGGTCTCACCCCAAAAACCCCTTCCATCACCCCAAAATTCCCATCCACACCCACCAGAGGACACAAGACAAGGTCTTACCCCAAAAAATCCCCTCCACACCCACCAGGGGACACCAGATGGGGTCTCACCTCCCAAAAATCCCCTCCACATCCATGAGGGGACACCAGATGGGGGCTCCCCCCCCAAAAAACCCCATCCGTATCCATGAGGGGACACCAGATGGGGGCTCCCCCCCCAAAAAACCCCATCCGTATCCATGAGGGGACACCAGATGGGGGCTCCCCCCCCAAAAAACCCCATCCGTATCCATGAGGGGACACCAGATGGGGGCTCCCCCCCCAAAAAACCCCATCCGTATCCATGAGGGGACACCAGATGGGGGCTCCCCCCCCAAAAAACCCCATCCGTATCCATGAGGGGACACCAGATGGGGTCTCACCTCCCAAAAATCCCCTCCACACTCACGAGGAGACACCAGATGGGGTCTCACCCTCCAGAAACCCCCCCAGACCCACCTGAGGAAGGAGACCACCAGGGAGTTCTTGAACTTGGAGTAGGTGCGGGAGTTGAAGCGGTTCATGCCGCTGAAGCCCTGGCACGGGGGGCCACCACAGAGCATCTCCACGTCGCCCTTCTGGGGCAGCTTCTGGCCCAAGGAGTTGGTTTTCTCGCCGGCCATGACCAGCTTGAGGAGGACGTTGCAGTCCTCGGTGAACACCGTGGTGCCGGGGTTGTTGAGCCGGAACGCCTGCGCCGCCGGCTCCCACATCTCGATGGCCCAGAGCGTCTCCGAGACTCCTGAGGGATGGGCAGAGGTGGGTGGGAGTGGGCAGGGATGGCCAGGGATGGACATTGGGAATGGGCAGAGTTGGGTGGGAGT